GTTGATGAGTACGAGCGAGAGTTCACTAGACTTGCAGCTTTCGTACCGGATCTGGTTCGCACGGAGGCTCAGAGAGCGTAGGGGTTCATCGACGGGCTTTTCCCAGCAGTCCGTCACAACATCGTGGGACACGGGACTCAGACCTACGCTCGTTCAGTTTCTATCGCCCAGGAGGTGGACGCTAGCATCAGGAGGGAGGCAGTTCGTGATCGTGCCCAGTCATCCGCCCCAGTTCAGCCATTTGCAGCTCCACTAGCTCTACCAGCCCCTCAGCAGGCAAAGGAGAAGAAGAGGAAGGGGAAGGGTGCACAGACTGACCGGAGGACCCGACAGAGACAACAGCCAATTCCACCATGCCCGACTTGTGGTCGACTTCATCGGGGAGAGTGCCATGTAGGACAGGACATCTGCTATTACTGCCACGAGCCTGGACACTTTGCGAGCCGCTGTCCGAAGAGACTCCAGCAGCAGCTTCAGCAGCCTCAGCAGCAGCAGCCACGTCAGCAGGCACAGAGGCCGCCTCAGCAGCAGCAGCAACAGCAGAGGGGCAGACAGCAGGCCAGGGTTTACGCGGTTGATCAGGCCGAGGCAGCACAGCAGCCAGGTACTATGTCAGGGATGGTTATTCTCAATGATATTCCAGTGTTTGCTTATTCGATACTGGAGCGACACATACTTTCATTTCACGATGATGTCTCGATGCCATCAGAGTTCACGCCGTTACCGCTGTCGATCCTCTCGAGGTGAGTTTAGCCTCGGGACGAAAGATAGTGACCTCAGCTAAAGCCTCAGATCTTAGCCTTTCCATCGGTGGCCGAGTATTGACTGCCGACGCGTTTGTTCTCGAGATGAGAGACTTCGATCTTATTCTCGGAATGGATTGGCTATCCTTCTATCATGCAGACATCAGGTGTCATGACCGGGAGATCACTCTCTATCTTCGGGGAGACGAATCGATCACTTTCTTCGGTTCCAGGAATCGTTCACTGCCTCATGTTGTTTCGATGGCGAAAGCCACTAAGTTATTGCGACGAGGCAACTGCCAGGGTTATCTGGTGAGCCTTGTCGACGATTCTCAGAAAGCGCGAACACCCCATGATGTTCCAATCGTTCGCGAGTTTGTGGACGTGTTCCCAGACGAGTTTCCAGGAGGGCCGCCTAACCGTCAGGTGGAGTTTTCTATCGATCTTATTCCAGGGGCCGGTCCAGTATCCAAAGCCCCGTACCGTATGGCGCCTAAGGAGTTGCAGGAGCTTAAGACTCAGATTCAGGAGCTGTTACGACTCGGTTTCATCCGACCGAGCGTGTCACCGTGGGGAGCACCCGTTCTCTTTGTTAAGAAGAAGGACGGATCCATGCGTATGTGTATCGACTACCGGGATCGTAACCGGTTGACGATCAAGAACAAGTACCCGCTTCCCAGGATCGACGACTTATTTGATCAGCTGAGGGGAGCCTGTGTGTTCTCAAAGATTGACTTACGATCAGGCTACCACCAGCTGAAGATTAAGGAGTCAGATATCGCTAAGACCGCTTTCAGGACTCGTTACGGCCATTACGAGTTCGTCGTCATGCCTTTCGGTCTCAGCAATGCGCCAGCTGTTTTCATGGACCTCATGAACCGTATTTTCCATCCCTACCTCGATCAGTTTGTTATTGTCTTTATCGAAGATATTCTTATTTACTAGAAGAGCCAGAAGGAGCACGAGGAGCATCTGAGGGTGGTTCTCGAAACCCTCAGACAAGAAAAGTTGTACGCAAAATTCTCCAAATGCGAGTTCTGGCTCCAGCGAGTATCCTTTCTGGGTCATGTGATTACTCAGGCAGGTATCGAGGTGGATGTTGGGTTCTATTAGGAACGTCGACAATGTGCACATTCAAATCTATTGAATA